ATTCAACAATCAAATCACCAAAAGCATTAAGAGTGCCAGTAATAATAAACTATATATTTTAAGCTTAAACAAATAGGTCTATTTTGCATTTTATCTTCTAATTTTTTTCTGAAATGTAAAACCTAAAAGATATCTCCCCTTAAGCATACACAAGGCCAATAATAATCACATATGTATTTTAAACTAAACCAAATAAATCACTTTTACAGGTATAAATCATCATCTTACAGTCCTGGTCAGAAAAGTACTCTCTATTCCCTCTGATCTTCAAAGTTCAGTCTTATCTGGTGTTTATTTTCAGAAACAAAACTTTCGCAGGGGACAGATTTTCTTGCAATTAAATCCAAATTCACATACTGTATTTTTTTAAGCATTTAAAACAATCCTTTAAAAATCTGTTTCCGATCGAGCTAGCCTCTTAACTGTACCCACTCAACATTCTTAATTCCCTTTCACTGTTTCCAAACGTTAAAATATTTCTTTTTGATCTTTAAACTTACTTTAGTCTTCTTTCTTCCAGGATAGTAGGAAATTCTCCTGGTGTACAGCAACTTGCCTTTCAGGAGGTTTTTAATTGCCAAATAAATCACAAACAGGCAGTTTGATCTTTTAATTAACGAGGAAGTAATGCAAATCTAGTGTCCTTTTGAAAACCCTGCACCATGTCTTGGGCTCGATGTTTTTCCCTTGACTCCCAAAGGGTTCTACCCACTAGAAATTGCTAGACTGCAATCTCTTCACAGGGTTTCTCTGTAAAACATACCTGGGGGTGTTCCTGTCAATCTCCTTTATTTGGAGATGATTCCGAACAGCTGAACTGATGCCAGCTCCTCTAATTGCCGTGGGCATCGGCTCCTCAAAAAAACAGAGCCGTGTTCAATCAGCCATTTCTTCCCTGGAAGTCGTCAATTCACAACTATTTCTAGAAGCATTTTTTGCAAGTCTTTTCTGAATCTCATAGGGATGTCTACTACTACTTTTCTGTTTTTGTAATTTTCAAAATTGTTTAGTATTTGTAAAAACAAAAATGTTTTAACTTTTACTTGTGCTTTCTGACAAGTCTAAAAGATTGTGAAGATTATTTACGAGTTAGGAAATACAGCTATAACTTATATTATTTTATGTTTCAGGCTAAAGGATCTTGGTTTAGAGCAGTTTTCTACCGCAGAATTATTCACTCGCATTTTTATCCCAACCTCCTTTCTGTTGGTATGCATATTGCACTTGCATTACTTCCATGACCATTTCCTCCAACTCACAGATTTAAAAGCCATAATCAGCAAGCAAGACAATGCCATTTACAGGTAAACAAAACAGATATTTTTTTCTTATTTTCCTTTTCCTCAAGGCTTGGATTGTGTTGTTGGTTGGTTGGTTGGTTGGTTGAACTTTCTCTACCATCTTATAGTCAAGTAACTCTGGATTTTGAAGAAAAAGAGTGTAAGATGGCCTGTTCTCAGTGATTGAATAATAAATACTACTTAGAAATCCCATGATCTATAAACCTTTTCTGCAACCACAAAAATGCCATTTTTGGTCTGAACTCTTTATATGTGGTTTTCCCAGTACCAAACAGAATGTAGTGAGATTTATTCCCTACCAAGTATATTCAGGGTTGCTGCATTACTACTAATTTGGGAAGGAGCTGTAGGAACTCTGTTGTATGTATGTCCATTAACATTTTTTTCTTTTTTAAATTTTTATTATTTTAGTTAAATATTTTACTTAACAAGTTTTGCAGAAATAAATAAAAATTAAAAAAAGAGCAATGCATGAAAAACTACAAAAACAAAACATTTTTTGTTGCTTTTTTTTGTTTTTATTCTGCTATTTGTGTGTTTGCCCACCATTTACAAGAAATATTCCCAGCTTCTTCCCTAAAGTCAAAACAGATCATGTTGATGCTTATTAGCAATATGGTTCCCCTGTGGGGAGAAGAAAATGTCATAACTCTCTGGTTTGGAAACCTTTGTAAAATTAAGCTATCAGGGATAAGGATATAACAAAAGATTCACTGCTCTGTTCTTATCTGATTCTATGTAGGATTGCTCTGTAAGAACAAAAACTGATTTAGAGAATTCAAAAATAGTTACTTTCATAGAAGTGAAACAAAGCCAGAATAATATGCTATTTGCAAATTTCCACCCCAAGAGAATTAAGAATAACTGAATCAAAACCTAATGAAGGACTGATAAGAATATATGCTTTCCCACCCCCCAAAAAAGTGATGTAATCTATAAGAGATCGCTATGTTTTGGGAGTTAAAGAACAAAAACAAATAATGTATATGAAAAATTAGCAAATGTGAATCAATTAATGTATTTGTATCTCCAATCTCTTATACATTTTACATACATCATAATGTAAACTCCACTCCTTAAGTACTTGAATATAGATGTTGTGATGCAAATACACAAGGATAGGTCTTGCAGTATGACATCATGATGCACATGTCATCATTTTGATGTCAGCATTGTTAGACAGATAGCTTATTTTTTTTCATTTATTTTTCTTTTCTTCGCAAATGGTATAGACAATTACTTGAAATTTTAAACATTCAAATGTGAAAGAAATCAAAACTGATCACCCAAGGAGGTGGCTTTGAGTGCTTAATTTTTAAAATCAGGGTAGTCACTATCTGTTTTTGCAACTATATTTGTTGAACTGAATTGAGGAAGTTCTTTCTTCTGACAAGCTTTTCATCTTTAGTGGCAACATGGCTGAAAGTATAATTGAGTTCTCTCTCTCTGTGTGGAATATCTGTAACTATTGTATTTAGCTGGTGCACATGAATGAGAATTCCATTCAGTTTCTTTTATTTATATATCTACTTTTATATATTTTGGTCAATTCAAGGCGGCAAACATGCCTAATACTCCTGCCTCCTATGTTCCCCACAACAACCCTGTGAGTTGGGCTGGGCTGAGAGAGACTGAGAGAGGCGGACTGGCCCAAAATCACCTAGACGGCTTTCATGCCTAAGGGATGCCTAGAACTCACAATCTCCTAGGCCAGCACATTAACCACTATATCACACTGGCTCTCATATATGTATATGTGTGTATGTATATATGTATATTATTTTATTTTTTAAATTTTATTTACTAACTTTCACATTTAATAAATGGGAACAGAAAAACAAGCCAAATAAGGGAGACAACAAAATGGAACCATTCATCTATTTTCCTCCTTCTAGTTCCTGGCAATGTAATGAAGCCATGGGCAAATAGAAACTTACAGGTTCTTCTTTCTGTAGGAGTTGTGATGTTCTTTCAGTGTTCATGCTATATCACTGCAGCTATTTTCCTTGTGTGCTACCTGAGAAAAATAGCTAACTATCTTCAATCCTGTTTAACACTATTCTTTTCTTTCTCTTTCTCTTACTAATTTTTCTGCTGCCACCTTATGCATTCTCACTCTTTCATCTGTCACCAAAGCCATGCCAAAGTCAATGGTCGTGTTTATCTAATAATAAATAGGTGGGTATTTTAATTATTCTTTTCTTTTTTTACTTAAAGATTTAGTGTTTACTTTGTTGTACATTCAGTCTTTAAAATAAAAACAATAAGGCTGTATATGATACTCAGAGAACATACTCAGATATACAATTTCCCAGTAGTACAATCCTATTGTTAATACAGTGGAATCTTGTCTACTTTTAAAAGCTAAGAATATTCAGATTCATTTTAAAGCTGCTCAGAATTTAATAAATGCTCAGCTACTTTAATTTAGTTAGACATGAAGGTTTCCTCAGGAAACATCCTGATACCGATATATTGTAATGCACGTGCACACATTTGTGTATGTAAATTAGTTAGGTTTTAATATTATTTAAATCAAATACATTCTAAGTGTTTGGTGTTCAGGTATTTTGGCTCCAATGTATGTCTATTGATATCTATCATTTAAGAGGGCTTCCTTTTGCTTTAATTGAAGCTTTAAAAAAAATGAGTTGCAATTGTTATATTAAATTTTGTTTTGTTCTCTACTGGATGTTAACAATGATGTAAGTTGGGATATAATAGTAAATAGTAAGTTGGGCTATATAAATTAGCAAAGGAAACATGAAGACACTAACAAATTAAAATAATTTTTAAAAATAGATTCCAGAATAGGGATGTCTTCAGGCTGTAGTCAGAAAAGTCAAGATGGTGCCCACAGTGCTGCACAATGAACACAACCCAATGCATATAAGAAAACAGACCTTTAGTCACTCCATTGTAGCTACCATCTTGAAGTTTTTGACCATACCATGTGGACACCCCTGATCCAGAACAAAGAAAGACATTATGAATGCCTTATTACTTACCATGTTAGATAACCACAGTGTGACTGTCATGGTAGATCAAGCAATAATCCAGAGGTTAGCAAGTAGAAAAGAACTTAAGTGAAGCAAATAATCCCAGGCTGTGTTCTATGAAGCTACAGTTGAGGACATCCAGAAAGTAACACATAAAGGCATCCAAGAACAACTGGGGTAGGCTAGGAGAATGGCTGAGTCTAATATGTGAATCATCAAATATTGGGTTCTTGGTGTTCTCTGAGTTTGATTATTTTCCTGCAGATGTTTCATTATCAGGCTAGATAACATCATTAGTGCATAGGAGAGTCAAGTTTGTTGGGTGATTATTTATAGTATCTTGCCCTGCTAAGGAAACTGTTGACATTCTAGACCAAGCCAAATCCAAAAATCCTAGGAAATTTCTGGAAGCTTGGCATTCAGACAAATCAGCCATTCATAGACACATAGAGAGAAACCCCATCTATGTAGTATTTAAAAGATACAACCAAAAGTCAAGGAAGGAAACAAACAGCCCAGAGCACAACCTCCCTAGCCAGCAACACCCAGATAAGCAGAAAATAGCACCAGATAAACAACCAAGGAAGAAACAATATGCTAATCAAGCAGTCATCAAGGAAGAAACCAGACCTCAATCAAGGCTGGCAGGGCAAGCTACCATGTACAAACAGCCAGAAAACTCCACTCCCATGCACTGATGATCTTGCTTAGCCTGGCAATGAAATGTCTGCAGGAAAACAATCAAGCTCAGAGAACACTAAGAACTCATAGTTCGATGTCAGTCTGTCTGTCTGTCTGTCTGTCTATTCTCTGTCAGATATTATTGTAATGCTGTTCTGCTCTTATTTAAGTCTTGTTTACTTCAGTCTCAATCCATTGCAGTGACTGTTCCAGGCACTAGGGTTATTTGAGAACAAATATTTATTCCTGAATAGACTTGTTACTCTTCAATGCCTCCCCCTGTAATTGAACATTCTCTTTCTGTTTTTTGCTTCTGTGTCACATCTTTCTGTGTCTGCATTCTCAGGGATTCTGCACAGTATAATATTGATCAGGGATGGCTGGCTGCTATGACCCTAATGTTGGCAATGATGATTGTGGCTTCTTGTTAATGACTGTTGTGTTTGGGCCTCTAATGGAGCACTCTTCTGGCTGGCTTATTATGATACCTCTTTTTATTCAGTGTGGTTGAGGCTGTGCAGCTTCACGGGATAGTGAGAATGCACCTTGCAGTCAGATCACTACAAGCTGTCTGGATTCTAGTGGAAAACATCTGGCCAAGAAATAGAGCACTGCAAGGGAAATAATTCATGCTCTGGTTCAATTCAGATGCACCTTATATAGCTCATACACACATTCTTTCCTGCTCATTCACTGTACCATGTTAAGCACTGCTAGCCATTTTAAAAAAAAAGTTTATATAGTTTTTCATCATGTTTTATATTCCAAGATTCAGGAGTTAGATGATGAGGAATGTAATTATGATTTTTATTATTACAGAACAGGCTATGTTACATCCTTTATTGGTAGAACAGAAATATAAACCTAGAGAAAAAGGTTGTTTATAAGATATTTGCTTTCTTAAATTATTTTGATTCTTCTTCAAATGTTTAATATATTGTATTCAAAATATAACTAACTTGGCTGCAAGATTACAACAAAAAGTATGTCAAACTTACACTAGAAATAGAGAACACTTTTAGGAGGACTATTCAGTTATGTGCCAAATAAAACTTCTAAGTTACTTCTTCTTATACAAGTTTTTGAAAAGACAAAGTGTGTTGCAGTTGCTGCTTTCCTCTTCATTGATTGATCAGCAGGACTTTTTTTTAAAAAAAGTTCCCAGTTAAGCCAAAGTGTTTCTTTCCAGTGGTTCCCCACTTTATACTGAATATTGTTAACTTGCTTATACTCTGATATTTAGTCCATAATTTTTCTTGATTTATTTCTTGGACTAATAAGAAGCACATTCCAGTTTGTGCACATAATGAATAATTTGGGCATGCTCCTAGATGTCTGAATTGTAAAGAACTTGAAAGGTGACTTTTATAAAGTCTGATTTCTCCCTCTTCTCTACCATGACCCACCAGCGTTAAAGAAGGGAACTAGTATATAAATCTGGAGGATCATGAAACAGTTGCCCAGGCTGGCTCTACCTTATTATGAAAATTAACTTGGACAGATCTAGTCCATTCTAAAGTAAGATGTGTGGGCTTCACTAACTTCTGTGTGAAAAAAGTAGTGTTTTCACTACCATAGGCAATGAGCAAGCTGTATAAGTAATCATTCAATTATTTAGATATTGGTGGAGTCACCTGAATAGAATAAGCTGAAAACCAAATAAAATCTTGTTTTGTATCTATACACAAATGCATTTATCAATGTAAGATAAGGTTATTTATGTTTAAATTAAAGTGAGACGCTTGATCTCAGACATAAAGCTTCACTTACTTCTCTGAGCCATAATAGTGGATTAATCTGTTTTGAAGAACAAAGTATAATTCCATTATAAATTTGGCAATATTCATGCTTCAGTAACCTTTTGGAAATGATTTTCCCTATCAGAAGATATTATTTTTATAACACACATTTTTTGCATTCTGAATTCATGAGCAATGATGCAGTAATACAGAGAAACATCATTTTAATGGACCAACTAGGGGGAGCAAGTGTCCATTATTCAGAAATGTCCATTAAATAAGAAATTCTATCATGGCAGCAGTTTTTATCATTCGGGTAATTTCTACATATTACATTATTTCAATCAATTTTTGTTGTTTGCTTCATAAAATAATCACACAAATGATGTACATTGTACAGACATTTGATCCATCACATCAGAAGTCCAGTGTTTCAACACCCTTAAATTAAGTTTCACTTACTGTTTTCCTATAGCACCTCACGGGTTAGGAACTATTAAGACATTTTTTATACTCTCAAGAGTATACTCTCTTAAGACATTTTTTATACTCTCAGGAGTATACTCTCTTAAGACATTTTTTATACTCTCAAGAGAGTATCTTTCAGTACAACATAAAGTTTAAAAATGAAGAATTGGCAAAGAAAAATATCTAACCTAGATAAGCATATGCCACTTAGGGTCTGGAGGAAGAAGTCAGGCAGATAGATGAAGCTTATGCTGACAGATAAGGAATTTGTTTCTACTCATTAAGTAAGAGCAGCAGGCCCTTCAAAATTCTGAGAAAGGCAAGGGAAGAGATAGCTCATTCGAAAAGTATTGGTTGTTAACTCAGTTAAAACAGAAAACAGATTATTCAAGGGCATCATTCTGGCCTAATGCCACCTTCTCTATTGTTTGTTCATTGTCTTATGCTGGAATACCATCAGCTGTGGTGAGCAGATATGACACTGAAACCAGGATACTGGATTTTATTAAGGTCAAACTTCAGCCATTAAGTGGACTGACTTCAGGATTATCAGGGTTTCAAAATTTGGGGTGTGGGAGGAGGATTGGTTGCTACAGTTAGGTTCAGAGTAGGAACTGATGTGAAATTCAGTGGTTACTGGTACTGTTTCACTTTGACTCATTCAAGTCAACATTGACAAGATGGTTATGATTAAAAATGAGCATCATAAACATTGGTTAGAATTAGTAATAACAGTAGTTGTATAAGACATTATGCTGGATCAGTATCAGATCTTTTGCATAATACTTTCATTACTATGTTCTGGTTTAATTTATATCTGATACATCTGATAATAAGATATTTGCATCATATTGGTGAAGTAAACATTGTATTTATCACATTATGGCTATGATTCTTCATTACATAGAAAGAAGTAACAATGAAATCAGTTATTTCAATATAATAGGACGTCAAAGTATAGCTTTTGGGAACATTAACAGTATCAATAGTGAAAAAAAGAACACCAAAGTAACTGAGGATCCTTCGTAAAATTATGTTCTAGATCATAATTATTTCACTCTTGTTTTTTTATAATGCACTTAAAGAACTACAACAGATGGCCCATTTTTATGACCAAAACATTCATGTAGAGTATCCATTCCCTCTGGATGTTCATTTGGATATTTTGAGCCAAGAACCATTGATATTTACTTATATATTTATTTATTTATTAGCCAGCCAACAATTGGTTGACTCTCAAGATCTCCATTCCTATACATCACACATAAGCATCCAGGTCTTTAGCACTGTCTTCTCTGAAAGAGTTTTGAGAATTTAGTGGCCAGCTAGTTAATCTCTGCATATTTATTAATGTACTATCCAATTATTTGCCTGACTCTGCATGCGCTATGATGTAATGGTATGTTTATTCCACTGATGCACTCCAGTCCTTTCAAGAATTTGTAGTGCTTAGTTGTCCAGCAAGTCTTGTATGGAGATGTGGGATGCAGAATTAAACATAGGCAAACATATTTAATGTTAGACAGATTTATATTAGTGCTGAACCTGAAGCTTCATGCTTCAGTCCCAACATTGTTTTGCAAAGAGAAACTAATGCTGCATCCTGAGAGTTTTGCTTATCACATGTAAATAAAAGTGAAATCTTTTTCTGAGTTTCATATAACCCTGATACTGTACAATCTGATTTCAAAGGAGCAAAGACAAATAATATAACTTAATAAAACAATATCAAAATTCTAGAATATATATTTTAATTTCACTTCCATTTTTTACACCAAAATAAACAGTGTACATTGAATCTTGAATATGCTGAAATTAGCTACGAAATTCTTGAAAACATAACTGGAATAATATGGATAACTCTTAGTATGTTAGATACTAACCTTCCAAAAGTATTCATAGAATTTTTGCTTTTCTGTGCTTATCCTAAATTTGGAAAATATGCCAAGAAATCTAAAAAAATCAACCTATGTTTTTATAAATATAAATATATATTTAGAATATGATTTCTGTAAATTGAGAGGATTCATACTTGTGAAATATAAGAAAGAGTAATTAAAAATTCTGGAACTGTACTTTTGCTTTTGCTGTGAGCAAAAGCATTCTATTAAGGCTAAGACAGTATGTTCTTGAAAGCTGCCACAGATGGATAATGCTAATGAGTCGTATAGCATGATGTCTTATCTCTGATCTTCCTCTTCTCATTTCCTTTTTTTCTTTCTGTTTCAATTATTTTGAGCAGCATCAAGAAAAAATTACCAATCCATCAAAATGAGTAAGTCCCCACGTGAAGTCATGAAATGCTTGCTGTTACATGTCATTTCATGCTTCTACAACTTAAACTTTGACCATTTTTTCCCCTTTGTGGGGAAATGTCAAGTTTAGGTGACAATATCACTGATTACTGATGTGAATAACTAGCATCAAAATGACAAATGATTGCTACTATGGTGTGATCCGTGTGGCATTTTCATTTTTTGAACAGTGTGTGACTCATGTATTCATGCATTTCCAGTTTGTTTTAATTTATAAAATCAGAAGATTTAGTGTTTTCAGAATTACAGCTGCTTAGTTTGTTGACATGCCCATTTCTGTACCAATAGACTGGTGCACCAAGATGGAAGCTTGCCTGATATCACAATGATGAATGTGAATGACAACATTGAACAAGAAGAGGAAAAGATGCTGCAAGATCAAGAAAAAATGCTGCAGGAAGAAAATGTAGTGGAAAGAAGAGAAAGTGAAGATGAAGTAGAGGACAATGAAAAAAAGGAGGAAGAATTGGATGAAGAAGATGAAGGTGAAGAAGATGAGGATGAGGATGAATCGGAGGCAGAAGAAATATCAGGTAGACTTGTGGATGGATCATCAATTTTATTTTACCATTTAGATGATTAGTCTGGAATAAGTGTAGATATTTCTCACAGCATTTTATATCCTTATCAAATTTTCTTTAAAAAAGTATTTAATTAGTTATTTGATTTGGTGGTCAGGAATCCCTCAACTGTCTGTGTAATGACTTAATACTAAGGATGTTCTCTAAATCATTTATAACACATTTATAGCAAGGATGTATTATGTGCAGGATTGGTCATAGGTACTCAAGTAAACCTTACACTGACAATAATGTACATAAAATAACATTACATGTTAAGTAGGTGGTTTGCCATTATATTCAGTAGTGAATCAATGCAGATAATCAAGTGCATGTATTGGATTGGGATTATATTAGAGTGTGGAGCGATGATATAAGGGTTACAGAAATGAGAAAATGTACAGTAGTACACCTACATTGTTAACAGTGACCGTGAACTAAAGAAGTGGTTTTGTTTTATCAGTCTGCGTGTGTGTGTGTGATGTTGCATTGATTAGCTCTTCATTGTTTTGGGAATAAATTACATTTGGTGAGAGAAATGGCCTGGCTTCAGTGGAATCATCTCACATTTAGTGTCAAATAAAAATAAAAAGTTCACCTGTTTTGGAAAAGGCAATATTTTCTACTAATCCAAGGATGCAACAATATTTGTTACTATGACAGAGATTTTGTGATACCTTACACTGGTTTACAATAATATTTTGTACTGTTAATATTATAGTAGTAAATTCATTAGTAAATATAAAGTTATTTTATATTTTATATTCCATATATAAAATAGAAGGTAGGTTTGTTTTCTTTCTTAGCTTATATTTTTAGTTTGCTTTTTAATTTTTAAACTTTTTTCTTTAAAATTAAAGGTTGTCTTCTTAATTGTATAAGCATAAAATAAATAAAATCCAAAAATAAAAAAGTTTAGTTGATATAAATACCTTTTATTTTATTCTTTTTACTTTGAGGAGGAAATAACATATAGTTTAGTTACATGTATATTTCCAGCTGAAAATAACAATAGCTTTCTTTTTCACAGCAGAGGAAAAGTGTTTCATTGTGTCTTATTTGTCTTTTAGATTTAAGAAACAAATGGCATTTGGTAATTGACCGCCTAACTGTACTTTTCCTGAAATTCCTGGAATGCTTTCATAAATTTCAAGTTTTTGTATGGTGGCTTTTGGAACTACACATTATCAAAATTGTGTCGTCGTATATTATATGGGTAACAGTAAAAGAGGCAAGTAAATAATGGATGCTCCCCACTTTATCTTGCAGTGTCAGTATTACAATAGAATACAAATCACTTTATCTACTTGAACATATGAATCTGAGGATTTGCATGGCCCATCTGGGATTGAAGCTTCCCGGTAAAATAAAGTTGCCAGCGTGAAGGAGTGCCCTTTAAAAATATGTAACTGAAAATGCGTTCTCTACTACTTGCATAGTTTAACAATGCATTCCTTTTGAGTTTGAAATTGAAAACAAATGAATTTGTTTTTATTATTATTTATGCATTTAGCTTTTAAATTTGGATCCTTCCTTACTACAAAAGGTATGAAATGTAATGCTTATCCATGAAAGAAGCCCTTGTAAATTAAGTCAGATCTCAAAACGTAAATATCACAGTAAAAAGTATGCATTGTAAAATTTGTACTGTATATTTTGAAGATTTTTTGTGCGTTAACTTTTTTGTTACCCTTTTTGTTAGTTTTGTTAAGTAATTATCCATTCATTTATTGTTTTAGTGCACCCCTCACCATTCTTTCCAGTTGGTTGAGTTTAATTCCAAATGAAGCCAAGGGAAATTAATCCTTCCATGTTTTTCATTTTTTTCAGTGTTATATAAAAACATGAGGTAGCATAATAAAGGATTCTCCAGTTTGTCATCTAATCTGTATATTATCTTTTCTGTTTTGTGCTTCTAGGTTTCTCTTATTAACTCTGTCTTTTTGATTGCCTGGGCTTTTGCTTTGCCATATTCTCAATTCCGTCCGTTGGCATCCAGTGTCTGCACAGTTTGGACCTGCGTGATTATTATCTGCAAAATGTTGTACCAGCTTGAATCTATTAATGTTGCATCATTTTCTATCAATTGTCAAATGGTACATTGTAGTTAATTTTTTTTTTAGTAGTTATGTTTGTTTTAAATAAATAATTTTGGAACGGGTGGGACTTAATAAATTAGAGAGATGACAGGTCCTAACTTATATAAATTGACTCAGAAATTATCCAAGCAGTTTTCACAAAAATCAGGAAATTACTTTAGGCAATAGACATGGCAGACACTATATCTTTGGCTTCTTTTCCAACCCTGTTGAGATGTTAGTTATTTTCTGGTCTTTTTAATACAGAAATCAAGTACTAGCTGATAGGGTATTCTTTTCTTATCTTTATTCTTAATAGTAAGTCCCCGAAAGGGAATTTATGAAGCATTTTGTTAATAAGAAACTTGCTGTGTGGATTACTGAATTATTTAGTTAGTGATGCAGCTCTAGCTTTATTATCACACTTAACTGCCTGAGGAAATCAGAACTAATGTTGTTGTTGTTGTTGTTGTTTTAGCCTAATACAACTGAAAATCAGGAAGGCCTGAATGAATCACTTCTCTACAAAAAACCCATTGATCCAACTGAGTGGGTTGGATTAAAAAAGTCCTATCCACTGCTTGTGTACTTGAGGGTAATTATAATCTGTTCTCTGTTCAAAGTCTTCAGTTCTTGCTTTCTTCTAGTAGAGATGAAACAATAGTCCAGTATTATATAATCCTTAGAAGTAGAATTGTTCTTTTTGGAATCTTTCCTCAAAGATTGGGAAGGTATGGGATGAAAAAGGAAATTACTGTAATGAAGTTAAGTTCATTACAACCCCTGATTGCCTTAGTTCATGAAATGAAAAAGTGGTTTATTTTAAGCATTTCCATCCATCCCTTAATTTTCTGTTTATAGCTAAAATAACAGTTATATATTTTCTGCTTTTTTAAAAAAATATATATTTGCATGGCTTGTTTAAAGAAATAATACACTTGTAGTATTCATACATTTTTTAGAATTAGTTTATGCTAATAGTTTAGGTGTCTTTCCAATTGCTAGTAGGATAACATGTGCACGATTCTTATAGGGGTTTTTTTTGTTTTTTTTTTAAAAAGAGGAGTTAGAAGCTTTGTTACATTTTGTTATTCCTGCACACTGAGCCAAAGCTAGAGATGGGTGGGAAATCATGGTTTCTTTCATCAAAATCCTACTACCTCATTCTGGAAACTTTACCAGAATATTAAGTCACCCTTAGAGCTGCACAACTTCCACCATAGACTATTTTCTTCTGCCTTACCACCTATCAGAATAGTTTTGCTGCAGAGTTGTGCTGCAAAAGTTGATTTGCCTGTCTGAGTGTGATCCACTCCCATTTGTAGATTTGGGTGTCTTACAAATATTCATATGCTATAAAATAAACCATCTACCACCACAATTAGGATTGGACATTTTTAGAATAAATGTGTTATCGATTAGCATTTTGTTCCTATAGTGCTCAACTAGTAGCTTATAGGAACTTCAGAAGCAAAATGTGTATTCATATGTACCACTTACCACCGCCACCCCAAACTCCTGTTTCCTAGCAGCTAGTTTTGAGGGGCATACAGTTTATGATGATGGATAATCATCAACGCTAAAGCACATCATGTTTATAAGCTAGTTTTGATATTCTAGAGAGCTCCAGAAACAGTTCTTGATAAGTTGTCTTATTTCTAGATACTAATATATAAGTAGAACAAAGAAAGTGATTTTATGGTAGGCCAGTTTTGAGTGAAAATGCAGTAATACAAAATGATTGACAATATATAGGAAAACAAATCACAGCTGGAACTTTTTGGTTTTGTATAGAGAAGTCCTAAGGTTGGGAAAATATTAACAAAGACCTAGATGTAGCAGTTTTATACATTTTAAAGCCAGTATCTTTATAATTAATATAAAATAAGTATTTATTATTATCAGTCAATATTCATATTGACTGAGCGTAAATAATTTAGGGGTTATGCTGCAATTAGTAGAACCAAGGCTAGTGACAGATCTGATGTATTTACAGAGTTTCCTTCTCTTACAGAATAACTTGCTGATGCTGGCAATTCTGGCCTTTGAAGTTACTGTTTATCGGCACCAAGAATACTACCGATGTCATAATAATCTCACTGCACCAGAAACCAAAACAATTTTTCATGATATTACCAGATTACATTTGGATGATGGCATAGTCAGTTGTCTTAAGTATTTTATAAACTACTTCTTCTACAAGTTTGGTTTGGAGGTAAATTTGCACCAATACGATTAAAACAGTACAGGTAGTCCTTGTTTAGCAATCACAATTGGCACCGGCAACTCGGTCGCTAAGTGGAAAATCTGGCCAAATAGGTTAAATGTATAATGAAACATACTTTTACCATCAATTTAAAGAAGGAAAATCTGAAATGTTTCAGTGGGTGCCCGTGTTCTTCCCAGGGAGAGAATTACACAACTGAAGTATCACGCCTAGGTATCTTTTCCTGGTAGTAATCCATCGTGCCTCAGATGGCATGGGAACCCAGAAAATCATCTTTGAGGTTCTTAAATAAGGCTTAGGATATTGTGATCTTCCTTTTGCAAATGTTGTTATAATATATTAAGATATTTGTGCCAAATATCTTTAACATTGCTTCTTACATCTCTTTACTTTGCAAAAAGAAATTTTATCCAGTCATTATGGATAAGGTAACCTTTATTAATAGTGTGGCCTATTGGCAAAAGAAAAAAAAAAGAATTCTTTCAAGCTGATAAATAAAGGCTCATGGAATTTCTGAAGATGAAGCTAATATTATGTTTATTATGGACCATTCAAGATGATATATATACATTTTGTACATTTGTCTTGTTATCACAGAGTTGTTTCCTCTTATCTGTAAATGTAATTGGTCAACGGATGGATTTCTATGCAATGATTCATGCCTTTGCCTTAATTGCTGTTTTGTATCGGCGGAGAAGAAAAGCTATTGCAGAAATCTGGCCAAAGTACTGCTGTTTTCTGTCATGTATTATTACATTCCAGTACTTCATATGTATTGGCATCCCACCTGCACCTTGTAAGGGTAAGTGTCCTTTTTGCCTTAAACAGTTCTTCTAATCTTTTACTTCAATAATCACTGTATGCTAGTAGCTGCTGAAAAGTAATTAAATAAGTACTCTCAATGGCTTGTTATAAGCAGTCTTGTCTCTGTCATTACAGATTACCCATGGAGAAATCCAAATGCCAGCTTTAACTCTAATATCATCAAATGGTTATACTTCCCAGATTTTATTGTTAAACCAAATCCAGTCTTTCTTGTGTGTAAGTATTTTACTTTCTTCTTTGTAAGTTGTATCCCTTAAACACATTTATCACTAGTATTTCACTCCTAGAGGACATTTTAATAAATTTCTAAAGTACATTTCTAGACATAGAATAGATATCAATGTGATATTGCTAGATCTAGTTATATATATTGCTAGATTTAGTTATATATATTGCTAGATTTAGTCATATTCAGCTTTACCTATATAAGACTTCAAACCCAACATCAGTGAAATGTTCTGCTCTTAAAAAACAGCACTGCTTCCTACCTCACCAGCTTCAGCTTTTGCACAAACAAGAAAAAATTACAGCCGTTTAACAACACCTATATGGAACCTGAATTAAAAAGTTAAGACTGAGGAAACAATACACACCCTTTTTATCAGGAAAAGGCAAAGTGGTGTCCTCTAGATGTTTTTGATTGCAGTTGTCATCATCCCTTATCATTGGTTATACTGACTGGAATTGTTTGGTGTGATAGTCCAAGCAATCTGGAAGGCATGAGGCTGACTCCTGTACTTTAATGCTTTCCCTTTTGCTATCTGTTTCTGTGTGAAACTGCTTTGCCATATAATTCTTTTATTTCTTATCTTAGTTTAAGGTTTTATATAACAATGTTATGATTTTGTGTATGCCAACTTAATTAGATTTGAAAAAAGGCCATTACAAATTATAAAAAGGAAAGGTATTACTGTTCAGTCCCAAAGAGTTCATACAGTAGTCAAACAGTCCAAGGTTGATATTCCTATAAGCTTTCACGATACGGTAAATTGCTAGACAAAAGTGTAGTCACAGTACAGTCCAGGACTGAAGACATCAAAAGTTTTCTATGAATAGTCAAAATTCAAAAGATAAAGTAGCAAAGGATCATCAGAGCTAGGCAAATGCAGACTGCAAGTTTTGAGGCAAGGGTTGGACTCAAGACTCAGAAGTTACAAGGTTCATTTTATTATGCACTTAGTGTATAGTGGAATGACAATAAAGTTATTTATTCTATTCTGTTCTGTTCTGTTCTGTTAAATTATTATGGAAGTTGTTCTAGCACTTGCTTATTCTCAGGCAGAAGTTTCTGTTTTGTAGCTTGACAATTTCCTAAATTTGGCCCATACTGATTGGACTTAATTGTAGAAGCCAGGCTACTTGGTAGTAATAGCCTATTTTTAAGTAAGCTGTTCTTCCAGAGAAGACAATTAGTTTCTGAACATTGCTGCTCATTTACCTCTTCGCCCTTCATGTCACAACATGGAGGTTCCTGCAGTTTGAGTAGCTGAATTTATGGATTAGGATTAGAGTTCCCAAGGAGCAATAGGATTTGGTTCTGCCTCCATTCTGCTGCTAAGGCCATACTGGGACCTTAGTCTTCCTCTTTGGATGAAAAAATGTGTGAGACATCCATCAAATTCAGTGCAACATCTTCTTCCATCAGATGATTTCATGTTGCTACTATGTGCATCCTTACAAAGGCAGACATTTGAAGATGAGAATAAGGCTGCTGTACGCATCATGGCTGGAGACAATGTGGAGATCTGCATGAACCTTGAAGCAGCATCATTTAGTCAACACAACCCTGTTCCTGATTTTATTCATTGCCGGTAAGAGCTGGACAATGACTCTCACACTTTTGCTGACATTGCTTTTTCTCAGAAATCAGATGCTCTTTGTGGGCTTTGAATTAGTAAGGTTCAGAATTGAGTTTCAGTACTGCAGTTGTCACTCACACAAATGTTTTCTCATGTTGCTATTATCTAAGGTAGGGTAAGATTATTAAATAACAGAATTTTGTTCTTTGCTATAGAACATACAAAATTGATCAATAAAAGTAGAATTACATGATGTTACATAATTTGTATCTGATTGTCCTGCAAGTAGAACAAGCACCTGTAACAGAATAATCCCTTCCTCTGCAGCTCTCCATATACCTTCCATCTGTTCCAGGTGTTTATGGTACAGATTTCTGTATAGGAACAGATTTCTGGCAGAGAGAAAAAGGATAGGTAAAGTCTTGTTGCATGGATGGAAATCAATTTATGTAGCATTGATTACATCCCATGTTCTTAAATATATTGGATTGTCCCAAATCAAAAGAAATTCCAAAAGCCCAATTTCCTACAGTGGAATCTCTGAGATTATCCCTTTGGTGATAAATTACAATACTATAATTTTTTCTGTATCACCTATTGGCTCCAAAATAAAAGTTCACAACAGTGGAAGAGTTTACCTTTCTTCTATACTTTCAAAGAATCATTGCCTTTGCATAGAAGGAAGGAAGGAAGGAAACCATTGGCTACCTCAAAAAGATAGTGCAACCTTTCCATTCCTCTATAATTTACACAGCAATGTTTAGATTAATTCCCTTTAATTTATCATAATTAAATTTACCCAAACATTGTGAATAGGACAAATAAAAAAAGTGAAACTGTTGGAAGCAATGCTAGTCAAAATCAATAGTTTTAAATTTGTCAATTTAGCATAAAGCAAAAGTACTCTGAGTCATTATCGTCTCAAAAGTAAGCAACTTGGAGGACATAATAAAAGAAAAACTTGGTCACGCATGCACAGGGAAAATGGGCATCCTGTCAAAACTTGTTCTGGACTTTATTCTTACTTTGCCTGAGCAAACTGATAGCAAGCAATTACTATACCACCAAATTTGAGAAGCCCTGTGATACATAGAGTACAATATAGTTTGTGTGTGTGTGTGTGTGTGTGTGTGATCTTGCCAGATGTAACTTCAATGCAATAATTAGTTTTATTATTCATCAGTGATGGTAGGATGTGATATAAATTCATTTACCATATTAGGGACTCACTGTGTCACAGAGTTCAAAAAACCCCTGTGTAATAGATAATATTTTCTTGTAAGCACATAAACATTTCATCAACATGTATGATATGCTGAATACCTGTCAAGTAAAATCATTATACTGTACATTAAAATGTGTATGACCTGAACATAAATTTAATCTCTTTCATTCCTACTTTGTTTTGTAACAGATCTTATCTAGACATGGGTAAGGTGGTAATTTTCAGTTATCTCTTCTGGTTTGTCCTCACTATCATCTTTATAACGGGAACCACTCGGATCAGTATATTTTGTATGGGCTACTTGGTAGCCTGTTTTTACTTCCTACTTTTTGGAGGAGACCTGTTACTCAAGCCAATCAGAAGCATCCTTCGATATTGGGATTGGCTGATTGCTTATAATGTCTTTGTAATTACAATGAAAAATATATTGTCGGTAAGTATATTTCTTTTTCTGAAGGGATTATACCATTTAATTGTTTCTGAAAATAAAAGTATAGGTTCTTATTTTACTTTTTTTAATAGTACCCCACCACACTACTTCATCTTTCTCCCACTCTCTAGACACTGTTACACTCTTGACACTAAAGTTTTGTGGTTATATATATCAGTGTTTCTCAGCCTGAGCAACTTTAATTCTGGGAGTTGATGTCCACACATCTTAAAGTTGCCAAGGTTGAGAAACACTGATATATAGCACTGGGGATAAGTGGCTGAATATTAAAAATGGGTCTTCAATTATTTCCTTGCCTTTGAGGCTTCCTTCAAGCTCCATAGAGTTCCAGATTGCTTGGAGCTCTGAACAGAAACATTAATTAATGGCTATCACTGCAGCATTTTATTGCAGATTACCTCTTTGTTTTGAGATATTTGCCATACAGTTGATGGCATTCATATGTAACTTCACAAATTGGAATAAAAAATGAGGGTTTTTTGATGATTTTGCAGTATTGATATTGGATTATTTACAAAACAACTGTTGTTTCATTGTATTGTTATATCATGGAGAAAGTAGGAGGTCAAAAGAGGATAGGGCTATTTAAAAAATTATGGAAGAAGTTACTGCACTGAGCATATACTGTTGAGGAATTACAAACACCAAAGAAAATAATAATTCAATTTCTCTTTTTTTATCTTTGTGTAAACCTTGTGGTGTTGACAGGCTTTTATTTTCACTTCTTTTCTCATATCAATCTCTATTTATTCTAGATAGGAGCATGCGGCTACATCAAGTCACTGATTCACAATAGTTGTTGGGTGATTCAGGCATTTAGTCTGGCTTGTACAGTTAAAGGTTATGACATTCGTAAGTATAGACCTATAAAGTCCTTTGCATAAGTGTTTTAAAAATGCCATTAAAGTCTTTCAGATATCCATCATTTAAAAAACAACAGGCAGATTTGTTTTCCCTTTCTGATATTGAAAACCATTCTGTTATTTTTATAGTATAGAATAATTCAAATTGGTAAATAAATTAGAATAAACTTATGTTTGGGGGAGGAAACATTTTTCCTTGAGAATTTAGCACCATTTTAATATATTTTGTCCAAGACAAGCACAGGTTTGGTTTGGTTTTTGAAGTAATAGCATACATGAAGCACATTCTAATCAGTATTCATGTGCAGATGTTGTGTCTGATAAAGTTTTTGTGCATCAGTTTGTTTTTATTTGCAGGTTATATTTTGTTATTTGTGTGGACTTTAGACCTAATTACTACAGATGCCATTCTACATTTTTTAAAAATTATGTTTGCTTTATTTTTCATGACATTCCTATTTAAAAATACTGATTAATTTCAGAGTTTATACTCTTGGAGTTATTGTGGTTAGCTTCTTGGCTCATAACTATCACAGGAAGGCTTTTTTCAGCTGAATTATTGGGTTATAAATCTGATGTAATTCAGGCCACTTTGGGTAAAGAATTAACCTGTATATAAGTGAGCTATTGACCAGTTTAGCACAAAGACTAAAAGAAATATTCAAATGATTGAATAAAGAATAAGAGAAATAGGGACCTTCCCATTGTGTCACCCTCAGTCCTCTGGCTCTGAGTTGTTCCATTGTAGGAGATGGCCCTCTGCATCCATCTTGCAGCTCTTTCACAGATTAGAATCTGAGCAGGAACATAGGGCAAATGGACATCTATGCACAGCCACAAATAGACAATTCTTCTCCTGCCCCACTTGTGTGAAGTTTAAATCTTGTAGACGTGGATTCAGAGTTCCTAAACCTTTTTGTTCTGTTTGGTCAGCTCAGAAACAATCTTGCAATATCTTGATGCTTATCCTTGATGCTTGTTCTTGTCAGCTTTGGACGATGGAGACTGTAAATTGCCAAGTGGGGAGGCAGGAATAATCTGGGACAGCATTTGCTTTGCTTTTCTGTTGCTACAAAGAAGAGTCTTCATGAGTTACTACTTCCTTCATGTTGTTGCTGATATTAAAGCTTCACAGATTCTGGCATCCAGGTAAACTGAAATATTGCATTTTAATAAATATATAGATCCATGTCGTTGTAGTTGTGGACATGCGTTTTGATTAAATATTGTACAAACCATAAAAGTGAAATGAAATATATAACTGTGATAACGCTCTTATCACAGATTTGAAAATTCATATATTAATTAGGAAAATCAGCCTTATGAAATAGGTTTCAGAATGTTTTCCTAAATACCCTATCCTCCCTGCTTCAGCAAATGTGTTGAATTAGTACCACTTTCAGTTTCCATCTTGCTGGCAAAACTACAATTATGATTCTCACCCTATGTGTTTGTGTTGTATTGTTTTTATCTAGTGTGTATGTATTTATTTTTCAGAGGTGCTGAACTTTTCCAGGCCACAATTGTGAAAGCTGTAAAAGCAAGAATTGAGGAAGAGAAAAAATCAATGGATCAACTGAAGAGACAGTATGCTTTTCTTTTTTCTTAAAATTCCTTTCTGGAGGCTGGGATATAACACCACTACATTAATCAGAGAAAAAGTATTTAAACTTTATACTATAGACCTCACTACAGGAGGCAATGAGCATCTTTGGAATTTTGAGAGCATCTCATGGACATTATAGGTTCCATCAAATAAGACATAGCTAATTACAAAATAAGTGAAAGTCAGGTGAGATAGGACCCCCAAACATCTAGAGAAACATAGTGATGATTACAAGTACCACTTTGAAAATTTCTTATCTATGTATTCTGTCTATGTCAGACTCTGAATCATGGCTCATAACAGTACATAGTAGCCCAGTTGAAGCATCTGTAGCTTAGTTAAGCCATACTTTAGAAGACCATTTATGATCCTGATTAGTAAGTTGATATCAGCTCACAGACCTATGAGTACTAAGGTTTTGTTGACCAAAAAAAAAAAAAAAAGATGATGGGGAAACACACATGGAAATATTATATTCCTTATGGGATGTATAATTTAGAAAAAAAAAGGCATCCACCTATGCTAATCTTTATTATAATGTAAGCATAAATGTATTGAGCAATGTCATTTGATAGTATATTAAGAATATCATATAATGTTTTTAAATTCTTGTGCTCTTTGGATCCACAAAAGTAATGATTTAACTTTGAGAGTGCAAACTCTCTTTTGACAGGATGGATCATATCAAAGCCAGACAACAGAAGTATAAAAAGGGTAAAGAAAGGGTGCTGAGCATGAATCAAGAAACCTCAGATGGGCAAGCAATTCAAAAGGTTGCTGAAGAAGATGATGATGATGGTACTATTCCTTCAATGTATCCAACGTTGGTATTTATTGTTTGGACCTTAGTATTATTAACTTGAATGTACATAGGAAAGTACAATGCCTCATCCAGACATTTGTTGGGTGGACTTCACAATCTGATCCTATGCATACTTACTTGGAAATAAATCCTACTCTGTTCATATGGTACCCCTCCCTTACCCTTCTTTCTCACTGCATTTGGTTATTTGCAGAAACACTATTGTCCCTTTCTCTGAAGAATTTTAGGGGTTGGGATTGGAAAACTGAAGTACAATGTAGAATTGTAGGATACGGCATGCCTTCAGGCCTTTAAAGGCTTGATATTTGGAGCATAGTTCACATTGGAGTCTGAACTGTGTTTCTATATGATGCCTAAACAATTTTAGAATAGCAGAGGCATTTTTTAACTTACAGATTTTTCATTTGAAGCAAAAATTGAGTTAAGAAACAGATTTTAAGAAGTCAAATAAATACCTTGGTTTTCAGTCGTTTGTTTTAGTTTTTATATAATGAATTTTAATTTGCTGTGGTATAGTTTTAATTTATAATGAATAAAAGGCATTTTTAACAATCCCTTAAATATAGTGAAATGTGAAGTCAAGTTCTATTTTATTTCTGTGTCAGATTAGCCAGGTTCTATGAACAGGCTAGTTATAATAATAGTAAACAAATGCTTTTTGTGTTTGTCTCTTGAAAGTATTAGAATTGGACCTGCTCTTGCACAGTTTGGAAACATTGGAAAAAAGAAATATAAGACATAATATGTTTTTCACTTTGTAAAATTAATGTTTGGACATATTTCATTTTAGGAGAAGCAGACAAAGAAAAAACCAAGGGCAAAAAAAAGCAGTGGTGGCGGCCTTGGGTCGATCATGCTTCCAGTAGGTTTCTCAATCATCTTTAAAGTACATGAATTTAGCCCTTATATCCTTGACCAGAATAGAGGCATTCCCAAGACCTGTTTGTTTTATGCATGGTTTTATACTTGTGACTTGATAGTTATGTGGACACAAAAGATTTCAGGGAGAAAAAATTGCGTTTCCTTTAGGCAACCATATGTTGATGCAAATATTCTCTACATGAAAGAAAAATAAATATCTTGTGTCTATCCCTGCTGTGGCCAAATATCTATCCAACAGTTTAACAAACATTCTAGATTTTTGTTTCTGTCAAATCACAAGTAAACTGTGCCTATGTATACATATGTACATATATTTCTGTTTCTAAAGGGCATGATGAAAATTTATAGAGACCTATCCTATTTTCAAATGGTTGTTGAAGACCCAACCATTTTTTTTACATTTCAGGGGGAAAAAATCATTGCAAGTAATGTGTTTTGAATCTATAGCTTTTCCAAATGGACCTGGATACGGTCTCTGTTAATCCTCATTAGTTTTGCTACTACAGAAGAATGGTTGAAATTCAGATAGTAAGAATGACTCAAAGGCTGTCAGGATCCAAGGTTACCTTTTGCAGTGTATTTTATTCCAGGCAGAAAGCTGAGGGAATTAGCATACTTGCCCTGCTTTCTCCTATAGCCTACTCTGTGAAAGTGACCTGCATCCATACATAACTCTTGTTAAATTATTCCAGCTCATTTCATTCTTTCTGATTCATTTTACCCTCATTACATGTTTTAGGAAACCAATATAGAATCCATATTATTGCAATAATGCATATACTTGTAAACAGCAACCCGTGGCCAAGCCCTGAAAATGCATATTACCCACCAGCATTGTATGCCCTTTTAAAATAATTGCCCACAAGTCAGAACAGTAGTTGCATGTTTGGTGAGCCAAGTTCATTGTTCCACCATTTCTAAACATGTTAATATCATATTTGAAGTGGACTGTTGTGTCTCAACAGAAAGTGTCCATTATCTGAACAGTGTTTTTGCTTCTGTGCGGATATAGAATTCTCAGGGCTTTTCTTCTGCATGGCACGAGAAACATGTTTTCACACACCTGTTGCTCTCCTAGTCTCTAAAACATTAACAAGAATCAGCCTCTGGAGAAGAAAATAATATTGTTTCACTGGTTTCACTCGCTGTGCTTCCTCCATTTCAATGAACAGTTACAACCGATGTGTGAAGAAATGATTTGTAAGTAGAGAGGTATGATCTTATTGAAAATTAGGCTGAAATTTTCACTTAAGTCAAATTTCTCTACTACATTAATGAATGCCTGCAAGAGTGCATTATTGCGGTTTAATCATACCATCCTTCTACAGAGATATCAACTTGCATTAATCGGGTGTATTCCCTGCAATGTATAGTTGAATTATATAAGGCTTACTGTTGACATCCTAATCTGTTAAGTCAATAATAATAATAGAATATGTTAAATTATTAAAGATTATTATAATTGATTTAATTGTCAGTTCACTTGTTAGTGAGAAGTGGGTGAATTATTTTAATACTATTGGTCATAAAAGAACAGAAGTTTACATAAATGCAATTTGAGGAAAGAAACTGATAGCTTTTCCTATTTGGATCCCATTATGAAGAGCTATATAACTTAGAATTTTTCTTCACATGAGATGTTACATATATTCAAGTATTTTGCATGGATGGAATGCATTGTTATTGAGGAGGTTCATAGTGTCCCCTGAGCTAGAATGGATTTGGGTCTTTGTGCAACCATCACCCTACATATTTCACAACCAACGTGATCTTTTACATGTAGATTTACATGTTTAACAGTCATATTTATGCAAACGTCTACTTATACTTTTATGAGGTACCAACTGCGTCTATATCCTAGATTACATACAATAATTTACAAGATATATGTCAGTATATGAGGTCAGAATACATGAATCTAAAATTCACTCCTTTCAGATAATTCTCTGATTTATACTTATTTCATTGTTCAATATTCTACCATTTCATTATTCTGTCTTATTCAGATACTTCCCTCCATTGCTTTCCACTCTTCTTTAACTTTCAAGCTAAAGAAAAATCCTCTCCCAACATTTCTATTTTTAAAGAATGGCATTTGTGCAGAATTGGATATCAATAGTAGATCTATTAATATTATGAAGTTCCCTAAACCTTAGAGTTCTAAGATCATGTTAGACTGGTGCAGCAAGAAAAAAGGGGCTTCTTTGTTTGAAGAAGAAAGCCAGAAAGGTCCAGAAACAGCTGCTGCTGCTGCTGCTGCTACTGTTGTTGTTGTTGTTGTTATTATTATTATTATTATTATTATTTCCTTCAAGTCAGTCTTGACTGCCTGGACAAGTCCCTGCAGTTTTCTTGGCAAGATTTTCAGAAGTGTTTGGCAATTGCTTTCATCCTAGGGCTGAGAGAGAGTGACTAGCCCAAAATCATCCAGATGGCTTCCGTGCCTAAAGCAGTATTAGAGCTCACAGTCTCCTGATTGCCTAACACCTTAAATCACTACACCAAACTGACCCTGTTTAACAAATTTACCTTTATTATTATTATTTTTTAAACCTATTAGCTCTTCTATGGGTTCAGTTGACAAGTTCTCAAATTCCAGCCTTAGTATTTCCATTATTCCTGTTTTGTTTCTGAGTTCAAATAACAGTAAAGTCTTCCTGGATGAAGGAAAAAATTTACATATTGTGTGGATGGCTCCCTCATGCCAAACAGGAAGACATCTTAGGGTGTACAACATTCCTATAAATGCAATATATCTTCCACATTTCTTTAAACAATTTTCAATTTGATATTCAAATACCATGGGTAGGGAGAACTTAGGTAACATGGATCCTTAAGTTCTTTAAGCTTTATTTCTTACACAGAATAAGAGAGGAGGATAGCTTATAGCACTGCTTATGGATTGTACCCATAGCATAGAATTTTCTTCCCAAACGGTGGCAGTTACTTTTCTTTGTGTAATTTGCTATAGCCTAATCAGGGCACAGTTCATAAAATCAATTTATCTTTGGCTAAGATAAGTTATTTAATATATGCTTTAGATAAAATAGAGGATAAGGTATGATTGAATAATTTATTTTTATGGTTCAGAAAGCTATATAATGAGGGTCAAATATATTCTTAAAAATCATTCTATCTGTTTTTCTTATTGTAATAATAAACATATTAAGATATTTTACTTTACTTGCAGACATTATCTTAATGGGCAAATGTAATGCTGTGACTTTGATTTTCTCTCTTGCTTAATATTTTATTTTTAATTTCCTTTTTTTTCCTTTTTTGATCCAGTTGGACCTATTAGCTTATTTGATGTTTTAAAAAATGAGCTTCTGTTCAAGGATATAAGGCCCAGTTCATTCATATTATTTTACAACTTGAACATATGGAGACATCCATTTTTTAAAAAAAAATCACAAGCAAAATTAATTATCTAATTATTTTAAAAAATAAAAAAAGAATTTATTTAACATTTTCTTAATATTAAGCCTAAAGAATATAGCAAAAAAGAAGAATGGTTCCAGATGCTAGCAGACTTTTAACAGAATTACCTTTTGTAGTTGTTGTTTTGGGTGGGGGAAGAGAGCACATATTAATTTAAATTGCTCCTCTGGAATTAGAAAACTCTCAACCTCTCACAAATAAAGAAACATGTTTTGAAGTTATGAATGTTGCAAGCTTTCAATAAGACATTCCAACTTTTTTTTTTTTTTTTGCTTTTCTCAACTTTTCTTCTGATCATGCTGTAATGTTCCTGTTACTGAGGTTTCTTTTTTGTAATGACAAACATCCCAAATGATCTATGTGCCTCTCTTGCCTTTTCTCCACTTTTATATATATGTCCTGACACTGAGTCCCATAGTCATAGACCTACTTTGTGTGTCTCTGTGTCATGGCTTAGGATAGACCTTATGAGAATTGTTTCCTTACAAGAAATAAAAAGAACATTTTATTTTGCTTAGTGGTCAGAAGTGGAGATTATTATTTGTTTGAGTCGGACAGTGAAGAAGAGGAGGAGGATGAAGGAAAGGAAGAGGAAGAACCTCCAAGAAGATCTGCTTTCCAGGTACTGTTTTTGCTTGCATGGTATTCCTACAAACAAGGGTGGCTGCAGGGTGTGGTCAAAATGGTGGCCACAATGATTGCAATCAAATCTAGGCCTGTTTTTTATGTGCATCACCATCTTGACCTTTAATCATATCCTGTGGACACCCCTGCCTATAAAGGCAGCTTGAATGGCCTGAATGGTGGTGAAAGAATGAAGATGCCTTTTGGTTTAGGTGAAACAAATACAGGTTTGAAGATATACTTTTGTAAGCATAGATAGAATTTGAATAAATCTTTATTTAGTTACAGATATCAGGCAGACAATATATCAAAAGTAAATGTATATAGCTTAAAGAAAAGTAAGCCAGGACTATTTAGATATAACAGAATCCAGCAATCTGATTAATTTATGCATATTCAGATTCAGAATACTCACACAATTCATCTAGGCAGGAACATCTGAGGGGCAAAAATAAAAGTCAAGATGGGCATCCACAACCACAGCTGTCATCTTAACTTTTTGAACACACCCACACACTCATGAACAACCCTATCTGTAGGTTCATAAAGTAGGGCAATTTGATATTCAGCTATATCCCCATGGGCTAAATTCTTTAAAGAGATCATATAGGCAAATTGGTATGTAGAATTATATCACAGTCCATCTACATGTGATCCTGTCATATCTTCATCCATAACTGCACAGCTGGCTCTCAGTAAGATGATGGAAGTTTGTAAATGAAAATTGGGATCATTTACTTTATGGTAAACTGAACACTCTAAATTCTATAAAGTGTCATATAAACTGGATTCTATTCATATTTCGTCATATATACGGCAGACTGTACACTCTAAGTTTTGCCTAAATAAGTATTGTAATTTTTGTTTGTTTGTTAGTTTGACTTTTTTTTTCAAACTATCCCAATCCAAAGAGACTTTAGGAAGCCAGCAAAAAAGAAAAAAATACACAAAATAATCAATTCAACTAAAAACAATCCATTCTTATACCATCCAATCCTATATTGTAATGGACCCCATAATCCTCATGGGCCAAAGACGCAATGTTTATGAGCAGTAAGGGTATGGCTTGCATGTGCCTCTGAGTTGAGAGAACTCAACAAAGCAGAGATGCCATAGAGAAGGCCTGTGGTCTTGTCGATACCCCATTGACCTTGAAAGACGGTAGGAATCTCAACCTGCCTAGATGACCAGACCAAGTGGGCAGATTCAACTCAAATGAGGTGTTACCCACTATAACCCACTGAAGGGTTTAAAGGTAACAAGCTACCCTTTGAGTTGAGTCTGGAAGGCTGCTGGTAACCAAAGCAGTGGCTTTCAAATAGTTGCTATTCTCATTGGTGGAATTGTCCTGCCAGTAGTCTGGCTGCTGCATTTTGTACCAGTTGCAGCTGATCTCTAAAGGCAACCTCATATAGAGAGTTCTGCATTAGTAGTTAATTTAGGGGAAACTGTAATACCAGCTTCTTGCGCTGTCCTCTATAGGACACATTAATTTTACTTGTTATGCTTGAGTATATTCATTGATTTATATTTATATTCACTTATAAAATCAGTACCAATCACAGATGAAGTATGTGTTCATTTTGAAGCCTGGGCAATATTTTCTAGTTTTATCAGAGATACTAGCTTAACAGTTGAAAGTAATTTTTGTGTATTATGGATCCAAAAATTCTATAAATATCCTCAGTTTATGTTACTTTATCCTAAACTATTCTATACTGGAGTTTCATTGGAGCCTTCAGATTTATTGCACAGCAGATGCATTTGTGCATTAGTTTTTGTTTATTTTTTTAATCTGAGAAATTATAAGAATGGTATATGTACATGCCTGTCATGAAATCTCTCTCCATTCATAAGGCTATATTAGAGGCAAAGACAAGGATCTGTAACTGTATCTGTGGAATACCAAAGATTTATTTGGAATGTGCTTTTCTAATCCAAGTCACTAATACATAATTGTTACACGTGTAACTAAACAACTTTTATACACTGTCTTGTAACTAAATCAAATGCATTGCTAAACTGAATACTCACAGTTAACATTGTATAAGCTTGTTTTAAATTAATATCAATCCTACTGTCTAATATAATCGTACAGTATGTTTCTTAAAACATTAGCCTTACGTTTTCACTAATTTGTCTTGCTTTGTCCTTCTTCATAGAGAGCTATTGCGAAATTCGCTTCAGCCATTTTAGCCTTGCCAAAGTCTGTTATTAAACTGCCCAAAACTATTCTTCAGTATTTAATCAGAGCTGCAAAGGTATTTGATATTCCATACCATGTAGAATATGATATTGTTCCCATTGTATACTGGCAGAGTATCCCTTTTCTGCATTTTTCCTCTTAATATGAGTTTTGGGAGATTTTGTGACAATCAAGAATTTGACTTATATTTTCAGTTGACAAACTTAACGATGAGATATATTAACTCATGTTAGGTATAATTATAGATATCAGAGAAAAAATGCAGTGTCATATCTTGGTTTTATCCTAGAGTTTCCATCTAAACTGTGTTAAGAAGATTCCATCAACTTGCATGCATTTATAGGTACTAGATAAATTGATTGGTTGAGTGAGATTTTATCCTGCATGGTAATCTTTGTCAGAAAGATTGCAGAAGAATGCAAAATGGAAGGTGGATTTATGGAAAATTTGGGACTCTGCATGTATGAACAACTTACACAAAGCATCTCTGAATTTGTGCTGTCAAAAGTTGTTAATATGGCAGCTACATTATTGCTATGAGCTAGTTATAAGCTAGTTATAAGATATTGACAGCAACTCTATCCTTTCTTTTTTATTGTATTTTTCCATGTCCATAGGTCACAAGCTCACAGCTTATTTTATTTTTATGATGTTCAATATTTTAAAAATACATGTATTAATAACATACCAAAGTGAGTGTTGTACATTAAAATGCAAGTTTTAATACAGCTAAAGTAACACTGGCGTTCTAATGATGGCATATTCCACCTTCCCTGAGAGTCTGAGCATGCTTCAGTTGGCAATAATAAATCTTCTGTTTATTTTCTCACCTTCTCTCCTTTGCATGCATATTTGTGTTGGCTGTAGCTAATACATGACATTAATGATGCAATGCAAAATATTATTTTCATTCTCCAGTGAAAATCATACAGACAAAAGCAAATATCTTTCTAATCAAACAGCCATCACAGAAGTATTTTTTATTATTCATATGGGTTATGGGTTGAACAAATATATGTTTGATACTAGGGAATAATAACATGAAGAATGGCTGTTCTCCTACTTTAAAAGATATAGTCAATCCTTTAAAAATAATTCCAGATATTACCTAACTGTATTTGGACTGTATTTTTATTGACACTAAAGTTAAAGTTAATAGTAAGAAATAGTTTGTATGTAAATGATTGCTTCATTTTCAGATTACTGAACATAGTTGTTGTGGATTCATACCAAATTCATAAGAATCCACAATTTTACTCAAATATTTTGGTTTATCAAAGTCACAAAAATTATTTGAGATTTTTGGATTTGAATGGATCTTTTCCTAAATGGATTGTTTGTTTGTTTGTTTGTTTGTTTATATTTCGAATTTAGACACCTCCCATCTCACAAGGAAGTGACTCTGGATAGTTTACAATAAAACAACAAATAAATAATGTTTGCATAATCTCCCAAATCTAAACACATATTTCAAATCTATATTCTTTTTGTCATCTGCTTAAAATTTACTTACTAGAGAACATGAATAAATTGGTTTCTTCCCTCTAGTTTGTTTATCAGGCCTGGATTACTGATCCTAAAACTGCCCTACGACAGAGGCGCAAAGAGAAGAAAAAATACAGAAAAAGGAAGAAAGGATCTGATGATGGTATGCTTCAGAAATGTCCTGTTATCTCTATTAACTATACACGTAGCTTTTTATGCTCTGGTTGTAGAAGAACCATAGTTTGCACGCAGAAAATCACAGGTAGCTTCCATGATTTTGCATAGATCTCTAGCTGGGATTCTCAGGAAATTATGGTTTCATTGAACTTACAAATCAGGATGTTCTACTCAGATTATGATCCTCCAGTTTAGACAGATGGAGTCTAGCCAGCCAAAAAATTATTGAATTGAACTCCAAGGGAATAAAGAAAGGAAATAGAATAGGGAAATTCAAGATTTACTGCCTGTCCAATTAATTATTGTTTGCTTGTTTACCAATAGTCATCAAGGGCATTATATAGACTGATAAATACCATTGCTAGCAGGCTACTGAAGAATAATAAATAGAGTGTTGGTTTTGGTTTGGGAAAAAAAACAATGTTGGCCTAGCAATCAGTTCAGGGTATTAATTCAGCATTGCAAAATCAATAAAGAAACTTCATATATTGTGTCCAGTAAATAGTATTTAATTATGTATTCTGTAAAAAATTAAAAGGTAACTGAAATCTATAAATCTAATTTTTCTCACTTATTTCATTTTTATTTATCAGTTGAAATAGATGTGGAGGGTGAAGAAAGAGATGAACCTGTCAAAAATAAATCTGATGGCCCTGGTAAGCAAAGGAGCAAGATAGGTTTTCATTTTAAATAATAAGAGCTGATAGAATAACACAATTATCTCTAAAATAAAGATAAAATATGTATACTGAGGAATTTATTGACAATTTTATCTTGAGAGTAACTTAAAATCTTAAATGTGATATTGTTCAAACCAACATCCATACATTAGTTTGAGTCTGGCAAGTTGTTCGGATACCATTTTCAGTTCATTTTTCATACCAGCCACTACTTTTTGAACATTAAAAATAGTACTGAGAGTGCAGGAGTACATTGGGTAGAAGGTGTGGAATGATTACAGAGTGATTTTAAAGCCAAATGCAAAATTTAAGAAATATTCTGGCAAGAAGTATTTTTGTATAAACAGAGCAAAGATTCTAGTATCATCTAACAATTACAGTCATTGATATTAAAATGAAATAAGTCTGATTCTGAAGTTTTGCTAATCACCTAATCCATGAAGGCAGAAATGCCATAGGAAACCGTGTCATCCTGTGCACATCAAATGAAAAGTATGTTTTCCTGAGGTTGATGGAACTTACTCTCAGATAACAGTTCTTAGATCTGTGATTTTGTTATAACATTCACAACTGTTCATTATTTTGAGTATTATTTGGTAAAGCATGTTTTTTCTTGTTTCATTCCCAGATAATATTTTTAAAAGAATATATAACATTTTGAAGTTTACCTGGGTTCTTTTTCTGGCAACAATAGACAGTTTTACAGCTTGGCTCAATTCAATTTCAAGAGAGCATATTGATATCTCCACAGTATTGAGAATTGAGAGGTGCATGCTAACTAGAGAAATCAAAAAGGTAATATAGCATGTTCATTTCTTTTTCATGATGGCGAAAAACAGATCTGTGATTTCAGGTTTAATTTGATTTAGCCTGTTGCTCCTTTGTGGAGGGGGGTAGAGTCTTGTAATTAGCAGCTACATTGTATTTTCTTCTTTTTTAACATGTGATAAAGTGTATAATTATGGTTTTAGTTTAGGTTTTAGCTTTGTTTTATGCTGCTTTTGCTATCAGAGTGTGGAGGAAAGTCTTAGGAGTGACAGAAAAAAAACAATGTTGTAGTATATTGAGACTCATGGCTTTTTAATTGACCGTACAACTCTAACCTTGGGCTATTTTCTTTTTCTTTCCCTTTAAAAAAAAATCCCACAAAACAATTGACAAACCCAGGGGAATAGTCTTTTTCTACTGCACTGGTCCATCTTCTAAATGTTAGCTTGTTTAATTTTCTAAATTCTACATTTTCCTTCTCAGGGAAATGTTCCAACTCGAGAGAGTATCCATATGTATTACCAGAACCAGATAATGAAACTTTCTAGGGAATCAGGATTGGATGAAATTTATGAGTCTGGACAGGCTGAGAGGACAGCAAGTTTAGAATCAGCAGCTTCTCGTGACAGTGAATCCAGGTATTCTGTTACAGTGAGCACAGTAATTCTAAATATATAGCGGATGACCTTGATAAATATATAAACATCTAGTAATGAAGCTTAGCTTGAAGGTGATGGTGAACTGGTATTGAATCTTGTAGTATCCTTTTTAAAATATTTAAAAAATGATAGCCAACATATGTTTAATCCTTCGATATTTCTCATGCTAAGAGTATATGAAAGTGGCATAGTGTTTCCATCTGATAAACTATTATTTCTGATACAACTTTCTTTCAATAAATGCAGTTCCAAAAAGTTCACACAATAGCCCCATGCATTAAAAGAACATGAGAATCCAGAAATTAGTCTCAAATAGCAGAGCCCTAAACACAGTAGAACTGATTCCCATATGCTGTTTATTTTTGCAGCATTGCAAAAGATCATATATTGCTCCAGATATCTGCTCCATTTGAGAACTGACTCTGACCCTATGAGTACCTCTGTTTTGGAGGAACATCTGTATTTGTTATTCTGTGCATAAAACTCCCATTTTAGTTGAATGCCTGGACAGGGCTGGAGCAGGCAGACAGAACTCATTCACATGACCCCAGGATCCTATGATCAGATGAACATTTGCATGAACCTTCCTTAATTCATTTTAGATAAAAGTGGGTTTTTTTCTAAAGCTGTCTTAACTACTATCATGAAAAATCGATAACCATTATCTATTCCAAAAAGCTGCTGCTCACACGTTATTTATATCTGGTTCATTTAATTGCCCTCAGATATCATGTTAATTTCTAAGCTTGAGAAAAATAGAATTAAAGCCTCCCCAAATGGTTGTGGCTAGACTGGGATAAAGATGATGTATTTTAAAAAATCAATATTTGGAACTTAAAATAATTTAACACCATTTTAGTTTTAGTATGGATTATTTACAATAACTTTAATATATGTGGCTAAATCTTTTTAAAATATCAATTTATAGTGCCAGCTTAATGTACCTATAAGTTCCCCAACTGCAACATTTTTAGCTACTAATCTTAGTGATTGCTAAAAATGATGAGTTTTATCAGTCTCATTAGAGCATTGAATGCATGAATTCCATCAGACTTACTCCATAAATAAATTCATATCCTAATTTCCCCTGGCTTCCCATTTTGCTATTACTGATCTTGTATGGTTATCAGAATACAAATAGTATACTACTTTGGCACCAAAAAGCTTGTTATCTCCCATGAAATCCTTTTTTGTCTATGTCTCTTTTGATATTTTGCATGGCCGATCTGCACGTTCACTACTGAGCCACGTCAAGATGCCATTGGTATATAACCTTGTCTTTGTAACTGTTTGCACTGCTAGCTGCTGCACGGAAGCAACTACACTGTTGTTGTCAAGGCAGTCTACCCTTGATGATTTAGATGGTCCAGACCCTATTCCTAAAACAAGTGAACGTGCACGACCTAGGCTTCGTAAAACATACAGCATGGATATGTCCTCCTCATCCGCTGACAGTGGCAGTATAGTATCAAGGTGCTTAATCCATGCATGCTTTTCACTCAATTATCCCAACCACTATACATTCTGGCAATGTAAAATGTGATGTTTACATTTTTATGAGTAAAACTAACTGCATACTCATTTGAAGCATCTCTCTCTTGTTTTGACTAATAGTAATACTGTATATCATATATTTATGTCATTTTCATACCTTCTCTTTAATCTTTATACTTTTGCTCTCAGGATTTTTAATTATGTGCCTGTTTATAGTTTCCCTTTTTAGTTCAACTGAGAGCTTGGAATGCTGCATTCAGATGCTGATTTATTATTCTGGTTAGCTTCAGTTAACATCATTGCTCATAAAATGCTTAACTATGCCCAAGACACAAGGGATCTTTCGAAAGCATTCACCTTTGTATGATCCCAATTCATTTGTTTATGTGTTATGAAATGTACCACATGGCTGTTCTTCATATATAGGTAATATGCAACAATAAACTTAAAAAAAAAACCCTTAAAATGCATTAAAATAAAGCAACTAATAGTATACAACATAGTTATACAATCCCATTGATGGTTATAGGTAAATGAAAAGAGCCATAATAACTTCTAAAATGCTGAAGCAAATCAACATGTTTTCAACATGAAAACATTTGGGGAATATGAATATTTCAGAAATCGATGTTATCAAGTCCATCTTGATATAATACTGAAATCCAATGTAGAATCAACAACTCAATTTTACTTTTAGATGTAAAGTTACAGTTAATGCATATACTTGTTTGGAGGGAGGGGGAAGTCATCTTTTATATTTCTTTCTTTTTCTTTCCTCTTTCTTTTTTTCTTTCTTTTTTTTCTTTTTTCCTTTTGTCTTTTAGTTTTGTATCAGCTTCTATATCTATAAACTTTAATAAAAATATTACCAAAAAAACCAACTCAATTTTACTTTTTAAAAAAGGAGAGTAAATGTTATTTGTAAAATAAGAAATTGACAAAAATATTCTTCCTCCTCATTCTTGACAGTGAGGCTACCCAAGTTACTATGCTGTATTCCCGTCAGGGAACAGCAGAAACCATTGAAGAAGTCGAAGGGGAGGACCATGAAGGAGAAGAGGCAGATACTGAACTCACACAGGGACATGAAATGGAAGATTACTGTATGGATTCTGAAGGAGCTGCATATACTTCTGATACAGATATGCCATCCTATTCTGCTTTGGATGGCATTGCTGAACCTCCTCCTTCATATAGCAAAGCTGTGAGCTTGGAACTTTTCCCCTTAGATAGTTCCCAGGATGGTTCATCTGGTAAAAACCAAATGATGGTGAGCCCAGATGAAAATCAGTCTGAAAAACCTGAGGATTCTATTCTCCCTCCTTTGACACATGAGCTGACTGCAAGTGAATTACTACTTAACAAGTAAGGATCCATGATTAATTAAGTATGCACATTAATTGGATTGGTGATAAAAAATGTTTTGTGAAAACTTTCGGTGGTTAGGGTTTTTTTGTAGTTCATTAAACAAGCTAAATTCACTTGATATTCACTTACCTTTTCAAATACCCTGATTTTACTGGATTTCCTTAAATGTAATTGATTTATGTAGTACCAGGCCAACTTTATCTTGGCTTGGAAGATAAGCAAGGCAAGGTATACTTTATAGCTTGTTGGTGGAATTTGTTGCATGGCTTTTGGGTAATACCCTGTTATGTACTGTAGAAGCATTGTTATTATTTACAGACTAGTCTGTAGAATTTAAAATATTTACATACAATTAACATATAAAATCATGGGATCTAATTTTATTCCCACAGAATGTTTCATGATGAGGAACTAGATGAGTCCGAAAAATTCTACTCTGGTCAACCTCGATATTTGCTTCTTATTTATGCTCTATATAATACACTTGTAGCCCGCTCAGAAATGGTGTGTTATTTTGTGATCATTCTCAATCATATGGTCTCTGCCTCTACAATTACCCTTGTGCTTCCTATCCTCATCTTCCTTTGGGCCATGCTATCCGTTCCAAGGCCTAGCAAACGTTTTTGGATGACAGCTATAATCTACACCGAGGTATGTCATTATTCAGTAGCTGTTGAGTAACCCTTTCAGTGTTATTGAACATTGAACATTATTCAGTGTTGTTGAAAAGAATGTTGTCTTCCTTTTCTGGTTTATCTGTCAGGAGACTGGAAGCATCTGATTTCTGGTTTAAGCTAACTTCAATTGTTGTTACATCTAAGCCTGAACAAGCTGTAATTTGTTTAAAGTACAGTTTCTTAAAATAAACCACGAACTATGGCTTTGGATTCTGACTGTTTTCTGGTAACCAATAGTGTCACCTGACATAGTTCATGGTTGTATATAATACAAATTATGCTTTGGGTGAGTAGTTTAACTGAAAAAGTGGATGCATGTAGTTTCTTTCTTGTGGCCATGATGGAGGAGAAAAAAAGGGGGTACTCAAGTCTGAAGCTTAATGCTAAATTACCACACTGTCTAAACCTACGATGGACTGCTTTATCAACAACAACAAAAAATAACAATATGTAAAGTACATGAGCTACAGTCTTTCGGTTCATGCTATCAGGCCAAATACCCCACATTCCTTATAGTTCATTAAAGACTTATCACCAAGCTGTTATCTAGCCAGTTCATGCAAGCCAGTTAATTTTTTTTTCAAGAACATCACCCAGCCAGAGATAGAGCATTCCCATGTCCGTTACAATCATCAACACTCAGGTGCCCAGATACTTCTCCGTGATTATTTTACTTAAATCAATTTATATGACCGCCCATCTCACTAAACAAAAGTGCAAAACTGCCCACACTAACAAAAATGATAACAGTGCAATAAATAAGGCAAAATTGTCCAAAATGGCTGGATCTGGAAGAAGGGATAGGCTACCACTTGTTTAAGTGCTGGTGGAACCACTCCCTCTTCTAAGATCACATTTACCACCACCCGGATCTAACCACACCACTCTCAGAAGCTTTAACTAACCAGAAAGGACATCGATCTAACACTGGGGTGGCTGAGATCACAGTTCTGAAAACCATGTCCACTTCCTTGAGCCTAACAGAATCAAACTCAACCCAGATAACTGAGCAAGACTGAGCTTCAGTTAACTCCATGGGACCTGCATCAAGGCTGAAGTTCAGCTTGGAGAAAATCTGGGTGACTATATCTGCAAGATACCTAGCATATTCCTCACAGCAGCCTTGCAAATGAGTCTCCAGCCCCAATTTCCCCAAAATGAATAGTTGCCTGGTGACCCTCAAAACAAGGGTATTAAGGGCAGAAAAGTAATTATGCTTTGCCATTCTTATTGCCATGAGGTAGGCCTTAATAGCTGCTATAGCTCATGCTTGACTGGATTCACCCCATGTTGTACCCCAGCAGCACTAGGCATCTCTTCCCTCATTTCATCTTCTTAAGCTCCTCTGTAAACCAAGAGGAGCCCTGGATCCACAGGAAGAGAGAGGCTGCATAAGCACAACCCAGTCCAAAGCCCAGCTATGCACACGTTCCAAGAGGCAAGTAAGGCTTCAACCGGGCTGTGCACCAAACCCTCACAAACAACTCCAAGCTCTCCCTGGAACCCTATCAGGTCCATTAGGCACCTGGGGTGAACCAGTAGAATAAGTCCATCCTCCCTGCAGAAGGAAGCAGCGCCAGAACACTCCAGGGTTGTCAGAAAGTGCTCTGACCATGACAGGAGGGTGAGGATAATTTTTCCCAACTCCAGATCATGCTGCCACTGCCCAGACAGGAAGACCAGATCCAAAGTATGACCACCATTATGCATCAGGCCCTTGATGACCTGGGTCAGGTCTATGGTTGTCATGGTGGCCATGAACTCCCAAGGTGCTTCTGGCTGCCGAAGTCCCCCAAGACCTGGGGATCTCCACTGCCAGTCAGGCCACTGAGTCTAGGAGCTAAGGCAGAAAAGTTGCTATGAGCAGGGAGGTTATCTTGTGATAAGCAAAGATGGTATGCTGTTATATATGTAATGTTGTTTTAAACATTGGTGAACTGTATTATCCAAATGTTCTCACTAAACTTTTTTGAGAGGGGCTGCTAAATCCTTTGCCATTCTTTGCAAATGCCCTTGCCAACCTGTGCAAAAGTTCCTGTTGCTGTCAGAAAGCGCCAATGGCTTTAAATCTAGTTTTAAAAATCGAAAGGATATACTAAAAGCTTTACAAGAATTCAGTATAAACAAAAATACTGAAACACGAGCCTAGCTCAGCACCTACACAAGGGAGTGGTAAATGCATGTTTTTGGCTTCAACCCAGAACTTCTTTTCTTCCTAGTATCATAAAAATGGTAAAAGGCTGTGCCAGGCCATTTCTCCAGCTTCCCATTCCCCTTTCTCCCTTTTCTTTTCCCTCAGTGGAAATTCCCAGCCCTGTAGAGGCGCATGTTGGGTCCTCTTTTTTTATATTATTTTTGTTTCAATATGCACAAATCTCCTTCGCTTCCATACTGATAGATATAGAACCAAAGACTATTTTGAAACTGGAAGTGCAGATGAACAATGACAATTTCACTTTACATCATAGAATCATGGAATCATAGAGTTGGAATATACCTCAGAGGCCATCTAGTCAGACGTGCGCTTGTGCTTGTGCATGCGCGCACACACACACAGTAAGTGCAGGATCTACTGGAGCCTCTCTGATAGGTGTCTATACATTCTCTCTTTGAGACCCCTAGCAAAGGAGAATTCACTACAGCATGTGGCAGCTTGTCCCACATGTTATGCTGTTTTTCATAAGGGCTAGAAAATAGTAACATTGCCAGTCTCTGTTGTGAACCTACTTCCAAAAGGAGCAGAAGTCTGTTAAGAAATCCAGTGATGTCAGTGACAATGAAGAAACAAGGGAAGAGGTCGCCTAGTAATACTGAAGCGGGAGATCAAGTTTTCCTTGTAAATGTTGAAGAAGCAGATTGGGCTTCAGCTTCTTTGATTATTATAGGTGAATCTGCCTTAGATTTCACTTCATGCCATTCCTTGTCATCCTCAAACATAACATTTTTAAGAAACTGGATTTTGTTAATTTGGGGGGGGGGCGTTAATATGAAAATGTTATCTTACCTATTGATTTTTTTTCTCTCTCTCCTGTAGGTTACAATAGTGATAAAGTATTTTTTTCAATTTGGATTCTTCCCTTGGCATAAAGAGTTGGAACTAAAAAAAGATAGACCTTATTTTGCTCCTAACATTATTGGTGTTGAGAAGAAAGAGGGTTATGTGCACTACGACCTTGTTCAGCTACTTGCTTTGTTTTTCCATCGGTCCATTTTAAAGGTATATTTTTGTTTGTTATTTTGTTTTGGGGACAGAATGGTAAAACTGTCAGCATGTATACCTTCCAGCATATCTGAACTTCCATTCCGTGTTCTGAATAAAATAGTGCCCCACTAAACCAAAAAGAATAACTTATATCGTGCCTGATTCAAAAATGTATTAAGATATACATACTTCCTTTTATTGGAAAGCAGCTTCATGCAAGGATCCCTGAATCTGTCGGAACTCTCATGCTGATTAAGACATAAGTCAGTTTCTCAATCTTACTGCTGAGACTATGGAAAGGATTTATATTCTCTAATTTTTCATAGTTAATCCCTTTTCCTTTCCCAACCACTAAAATCTCCAAAGATAAACCTTTTACTATCTCCCAGTGTTGAAAAAGGAACTCTCTATCAGGTTGGGCAAGAAGAATGTGTCCCTCAGCATATCTACACTGATATGCTGAGGAAAGAGTCCTGAGAAAAATATTTGTATGAGTGTCTCTGTGTGCATATGGTATGTACTGGATATGAATGAGTGTGCAGAAATGTGCAAGGACAACAGATCCTTGAGGCCTGGGAAGAGTCAAACTTCAGTCCTCTAGTAATTTTCTATCCCTACGCTAAAGGTCATGGCACACCATTTCAACCATAACCAAGCCCACATACAAGGCTGTGAAATCCAAGAAAACTAAACAGGTAGCATTTTTGAAAATAAAAACTTTATAGCTCAGAAGTGATTAACATGGAATACTTTTTGTAATACATTCACCAGAGGATAGATGACAAGACTAAAGCCAAAGTTTTGTATAAAGTGAAGCAATATCCAAAATAGTCAATGTCCAAGTATAATAAATAATATCAGTAATTCTGAAGATACCTTAACTTTGTTCTTTTTAGTGTCATGGATTATGGGATGAGGAAGATGGAGGAGACAATAGCAATAGTAAAGATGACTCAGATGATGAGCTGGCTGAATCATACAGAAGAGATTCTGCTGACTCTTTGACATCAGTCAATTTGGCAGCATCTGTTGAATCCATACATGTCCATTTCCCAGAACAGCAAACTGCCATCCGCAGGAAAAGTTCAAGCAGTGGCTCACATTTATCACAGAGATCCAGCTTCTCCTCTCACCGTTCAAAGAGAGGTATGACTGTTGGCATCAGGATTCTAAACTGGTCTGTTTTGTACTTGCCTAAACTTTTCTTTCAAGAAAGAAAGCAGCAAAGAATAACCAGCAAACCTAGGCAACAGTGATCCTTATATTAAAGAAAGCTAGGTTGAGATGGAGAGTTATTATACTATATTAACCTATTATTTTATTTGAGGAACTGTATTCTCCCTATCCTGTTAATGCTACAAACCTGGAATTATTTTAGGCAAAGAACAAAAGCATTGTGATGTTAGTGGGAAAAATATATTGCTTGTTACGGATATATTTTAATGCTTTTAATTGTTGATGTAGCATTTTTCTTTTTCAAAGTCTCTATTATGTTTTAATGTTCATAAGATGCCTGAGTTATATCTTGTAAAGATGGGCTAAGAATTCTAACAATCAGTGATATTTTAATGCAGAACTCCCTACCTTAAAATAAGTTTTATCTCCCTGACAATATTTTTAAAGTACATTATGCTTTAAGTAAAGAAATTGGGCTTGAACTTTAGAATTAAAATGTGGAGTCCTTGGTGTTCTCTGAGCTTGGTTGTTTGCTTGCTGACATTTCATTCCCCAACTATCTAATTTTAGAATTAAAAGTTTTCAGTCCCCTAGTTGCTGAATAATGTGAATGCAAGGTGCATTTTCAAGAGAGAAGAACATATCAGAAAGAAGATGCAGAGGTTTTTGTCATTTTTGTCTTCACCACAAGTTGAGATGAGCCCAAGCATGGAAGTAATGGCCTGAGAGAGATTTTCTGTTTGTTTTGTTTGATAAAAAGGAATTAATCTTTTGTTTCACATTTTGATTTTTGCTTCTTCCTCCTAATCATAGTTTAAACAAATCCTATTTTTCCAAATTTAGAGAAAGAAAAAGGATATGCAGA